AGACTGCCCCTTCCACCATCTGGAGCAATACTCTCACATGGTGATGCCTCATCAGCTCCCCAACACCATTTCCCTTCTGCTTTGCTTTCTCGCCTGTCTCCTGCTCTTGCTTCTGTGATAGGATGATGTGTGCTACTCTCTTCCAATCTTTTCCTCCTCCCTAACTGTTCTTGACTTCATAATATCTTGCATTTTTACTCCTTTGTGCATTAAAAACTATATATTCTTTGGGATTTTTAAATGAAGGAAATAAATGTTATCCCACACAGATCCACCTGTCAATGACATAAAAAATATATATATACATGGTTCAAAAGCTAAAATTAGAGCTATGTGTGATTGTCAAGTTTCCTTCTCCTGCCCATTCATCCTCGATGTTACTCTTCCTAATGATAATTACATTAAAGCAGTTTAATGTATGCTTTTCCATAGACCTGTTTTAAAAGGGATATATAAAACCTATACAAGTTCAAATGCTTGTATACATTTTTCTTTTTCATTTCTATTTAGGTGGAATAGCCCCAGGAAGAGAACTCTGAACCTATCTTTTAACATTTAATGCATTTTAGAGATTTCAGCATAGACTCTCCCCCCTCTACCTTATTCTTTTTCACTGCTGCATAGCACTCCATTGTGTGGATGAACTACCTTAATGTGCCAGTTCCTTATTGAAGGACATTAATATTTTTTTCTTAGACTTTTACTGTTTTAGTACCACAAATGTGGCTATCCTATCCTTATACAGTATCTTTGAACATTCTGCAAAGGATGTGTACATTTTCCTGTTTGATATCTGGAACTTCCTCACTCCAACTTTATAAGTAAATTTACCCTAACCAACTTTGAAAACTTGGTGGTTCTATCTTTTAGGTTCAAATCTTATACCTCTATAAAATTTACTTTGCCATTAAAAATAAAGGGTCTAGGGGACTCCCTGGGGGCACAAGGGGTTAAGTCGCAGCACTGTGTAGCTATCTGCAGCCACTGCAGCACAAGTTTGATCCCCGGCCAGGGAGGTGGCCCAAATGGCACAGCAGACCTCTCCTGTCTCACCTGCTGCTCCCCTCAGCAGTGTATTTCACTCAGTCTGCCTGTTCTGTTCCCCTCTCTGTCTCAGGTGAATCCTCTCACACCTCTCCCCAACCCACAACTCTGGCCCCCAGTTCTTATATGCATAAATAAATAAATCTTTTTTAAAAAATAAAGGGTCTAGTTTTAATCTTTCTCACTATAGTTGGCATGTCCATCATCATTCATTAAATTATCTCCCCCATGTGGGTTTATGTACATTTCAATGGATTAGGTCTTTCTTGGGCTCAAATTGTTTTAATTACTGTAATTTCATCATCTTTTACTATTTGATGAAGCTGGTTCTCATCTTTCTTTAGAATGTTTTCATGGCTATGAGAACATTTCCAGATAAATTTCAGGATTATTTTGTCAAGGCTGAAAGATTACCTTGAAGTGATTTTAAAGAAATCAGTTATAATATCCATGTTGATACATAATATACATGTCTTATAGTTTTTTTAATCTTTATCTCATATCCAAAGTGATCAGAATTTAATTTTCCAGACTTCAGGTGATTAAATCTAGAATGAACTGAATACCAAAAGCTGCTTCTTGGAAAAATGGGTTAATGTATTTGAAAAGGACAGGTGTCCTTTAATAAAAATTATTTATGTTTGAACTCAGGTTGGATATGGTCTGCTAGAACTTTTGAGTGTAAATGGGTCGTATATTTCTGGACGTGGTTGTTTATGCTTAAGTATGATGAGTTGCTGATGAATTAACCTTAATCTTTACTGGCTATTTTGGATGCATCTTGCAGAAGCTTAGAAAAAAATCTCAGCTCCAGTCTTTATTTTGCCGCCAGTGAGCATTTAACTCTTGACAAATTACTTCAACGGAATCTCTGATCCTCTTTCTTCATCTGTAAGACAAGCATACTGATGCTCATTCAGTCATCAAATAATATTTATTTACCTGCCTACCTCTGAGAATTATTGCAAGAAGCAACTAGTAGAATTCTGGTAAAATTTTTCGTTGAAAATATTAAAGTCTTCTGGTTAAACATTGGACTTTCAAAATAATTTATTTGCTTATCCCTAATCCCTCTTTTCCCAAAGCTCACAATAAAGGATTTTTTTTTTTAAGGCATCAACCCATAAGAACCAAAAAACAGGCCAGGAACTCCAGCAAAAAAAGAAAAAGGTATCAGCAACATCTTGGAAGCTAAAATGTAGAGCAGGGAAAGCCAGCACTTATTTCCAAGAAGTAGTAAGAAGCAAGTTGAAGCAATACTTCTTTTTAATTGAAGTAAGATTGCATAGTAACAATATATGAGTTTCAGGTGTGCATCATTGAGAATCAACATAGATATATATTCTACACTGAGTTCACAGTGAAACATCCAAGTCTGTCATTTTCCGTATTATCCCTCTTGTCCTGATCTACCTGCCCCTCCTCCTTCCTTGGTGTTAACCACTGAGTGAACCCATAGTCTAAAAGTTTATTTTTGCTTTAGTTTATCTGTTTGTTTTCTCTGTGTACCACATATGAGTGATTCAAACAGTGTCTTCCTCTGTCTGGCTTACTTTACTATGCATACTTCCCTCTAGGTCTGTCCATGTTGTTGCATGGCAGGATTTCATCCTTTTCATGTGGCTGTATGATAGTCTTTTTACACCCTCTCCAAACACATCTTGTTTCTTGTCTTTTGTATAATAGTTATTCTCACAGGTATGAGGTAATGTCTCATTGTGGTTTTGATACACAGTTCTCTAATGATAAATATAATGAGCATTTTTTCATTTGTCTTTTGGCCAGCTGTCTTTTTTGGATAAGTGTCTACTCAGATCTTCTGCTCATTTTTTCATCAGATTTTTTTTTTGTTATTGAATTTTATCTATATTTTGTATATTAACCCCTTCTTGGACATGTGATGTGCAAATATCGTCTCCCGTTCATTAGGATGTCTTTTTATTTTAATGCAAGTTTTTTTCACCATGCAAAAACTTTTTAGTTTGCTGTAATCCCATTTGTTTGCTTTTCCTTTCCTTGCCATTGAAATCAAGAACACACACACACACATTTCTAAGATGGATATCAAGAAGTATATATCCTTTTTCTTCTGTGTAGTTTTATGGTTTCCGATCTTACATGTAAATCTTAATCCATTTTGAATTAATTTTGTACCATTTATTGAAAAGATTTTCCTTGCTCCACTGTAAGCTCTTAATTCTTATGTTGTGAATTAGTTGTGTGTGGTTTAATTTCTGTGCATTCAATTCTGTTCTACTGACCCATGTGTCTGTTTTTATTCCAATAACTTTCTGTTTGGATTACTATCACTTTGTGGTATAGTTTGAAGTGAGGGAGTGTGATACCCACATTTGTGGTTGGTTTTTTTTCCCTACAAGAGCATTTGGGGCCTTTTGTAGTTCCAAATAAATTTCATGAATTTTTGTTCTAAGATCAGTATTGCACTGAATCTGCATATTGCTTTAAGTAATATAGTCATTTTAATGATGCTAATTCCTTCAATCCATGAGCACAGAATACCCTTTCACTTCTCTATGCTTTATTCCATTTCTTTCAACAATGTCTTACAGTTTTCAGTGTGCAACTCTTTCACTTTGGTCAAATGTATACTAAGATAATTTAATTCATTTTGCTTTGATAGTAAATAGGATTATTTTCCCAATTTTAAGCTAGTTAATTATTTGGGAATAGAAATGCAACCAATTTTTGTATATTAACTTTGTAGCCTGCCACTTCACTGTTCACTAATTATTTATTGAATATAATAGCCTTTTTTTCTGGAGCCTTTGGGATTGTCTATGTATTTTATAATGTTACCTGCAAGAAGTTACAGTTGTATTTCTCCCCTTCCAACTTGGATAACTTTTATATCTTTTTCTTATCCAATTGCTTTAGCTAGGACTTTCAGCACTATACTGAATAGTACTGGTGAAAGTGAACCTTCTTGTCTTGTTTCTAATCTTAAAGAAACAGCTTTTAGTTTTTTCCCATTGAGTATGATGTTGACTATGGATCCATTGTATATGTGCTTTATTGTGTAGATAAGTGTTTTTTCTATATCCTTTTTAAAAAATCATTAAATGGTGTTAAATATTTTCAAATGTTTTTATGTATCTATTGAGATGATTATGACCTTTTGTTTTCCCCTTTATTGATGTGGTCAGTCATCTTTATTAATTCGTATTTGTTGAAACACACTTGCATCCCTGGAATAAATCCCTCTTGATCATGGGGTGTGATTATTTTAATGTACTGTTGATTTTGGGTCCCTGGTATTTTGTTGAGGATTTTTTTATCTATGTGCATCAGAGATACTGGCCTGTAGTTTTATTCTGGTATCCCAATTCTGGTTTCAGAATCAGGGTTATGTTGACTTCACAAAACGTGTTTAAAAAAAAATTTAAAAAGGAGAGAAACTTTCTAAAGTTTGAGATGGGTAAATATTAGAAGTCATTAATCAATAATAGTGAACATTTACTATCCAGGATGGAGAATGTTTTACTAATAGAATTGAACAACAGAATTCAGTCCAGTATTTACTTGGAAGTGGCTATGAATTTGTCGGGAAAGGAAAGCTAGAGAAATACCAAGAAATGGCATTGTGTGACATCCCTTAACAAACAAATTGATTTGTTTTCTTTGTGAGATTCAGGTAAGTTTGACTTACATTCTGATTTTTTTCTGTGTATGTTGTACCTATTCTAATATCTTAGTCATGCCCATTGCCCTTTTAATTTCACAATTTTACACTCACAATACTATTGGTTGACTAAGGCAGAATTACTTTTGTCACACATAGTTAAGTAAAAAGATAATTTCACGTGGAAATGGTATTTAAGTAAAAGGTTCAAAAAATGAATTATTGCACCAGCTAGTTAAATATGTAATTGATTCGCTTGTCTTTTGTATAGTCATGTTAATTAAAAACCATATTTTAAAACTTTTATTCTTCCTAGGGTGAATTACTGGAATTTAAGCGACAACAAGAAGAGGAAAAGAGAATCAGAACTCACCAGTCAGAACATAGGAGGTATATATGGCCAATAAAATCAGCATCATTGGTTAAATCAATTACCTATAAAGTTTTTGTAATGTCTTATGAAAATAATATAGTAACATTGAATACAGTTTTAGAATCTATATTTCCTTGTTAATTTTTATATTATGGAGTTTGTTGTGTGTGAGGATGTCAACTGCTACACACACATACACACACACACACAAACATACACTATCCAAATTCACACTAAAAAACTGACTCATGCTTTCAAGCTATGTCTTTATTTACATTATATTTCATTTATTTTCCCTGGGATAAAGGTTTCAGTCCTTTATCATTTGTATACTACTTTAGGATAATTGAATTAATACAAGATGGTAAGATATTCATATTTGAATATAAAAGATCAGGCAAAACTAACATTAGAGTTGTTTTATACTGACTAATATGTTAATTAGTAATTTTTAATAGGGTAAGCATACTCTATCTTATTACTGATATCAGATCTTAAGAGTACCCAGTAAAACACCATGTTAACATTTGAACAGTAAACATGCTGTTAGTATATTAGGATATTTCTGAGGGGGCGCTTGAATTATTTGCAGTGTTTCAGGAGAAGTATTTAATGTAAAGATTTGTGATTTAAAGGAACAATTTTTCTTTTGAAATTGATTGACTTTTCTTATGTGTTTAACCCTCCTTGTATCATTGGAGTGTATTTTAAGATTCTGGTACTATCATTTTATAAATGAGAGACTTTTAAAAATGTTAATGGAAGTTTCAAGTTCTATTGAAGCCATAACTATAGATGGATGCTCATATTCTTTGGACAGTATTATTCTGCTCTCACATACCAGTCAAAATAGTTTAAAATACCAAATGTGAATTTATGTGTTCTCTTCTGATTATAAGGGAACATCAACTCTGATACACTGGTGAGGCTATTTTGTTGGCTCAGGGGAGACCATTACTGCTTTTACTAAGTAGGGCATATTTTAGTTTCATTCTTTTTATGGTCTTTTTTTCATTCTCTCAAAAAATTCTATTTAAAAGAACCTGATGTTGTATTTATTTAACACTGGTTTTTAATGGTAGCCAGTTATTTTTCTGGATTTCTGAGTGTTAATTGGATCAGGCTTAAATCATCTTGAAGATAGTTATGTGTCATATTAATAGGCCTCAGTGATATCTCATAAAAATGACTATCTACAATAGTCACCCAATGAAAAAAATATATTTAGAGTTGGAAAAGATTATTTTTTTGGTTATACAAATCCTGGCCCTCATTCTTTATTTCTATCCCCTGCTGAACACCTAAATATTGGTGGAATTTTTTTCCCTACATCTTATTTACTCTTCCTATTAATTCCAGTTAAATATAATCTATATTTAGTCCATGAAGAAATATCTCTGAATAATAAACTCAGTAATCAATTTTGAAATAACTGATCAAGACTTTGCACATACATTTTACATTCTCATCAGTTTTTGAAGAGCGTTTATGTTTGTATTAGAGTTTACAGTGCAACTCTCCCATGTTTTCTTATGAAAATACTCACTCAGTAGCCTCTAATGAATAATATCGCTATGTCTGTTTCTGCCAAGGGCTACAACACAAGTGATGAATTATGTATGTAGAGAATATAAGTTAGGTTTTCTCCAGGGACATAATTTTATTGGTATTAAAAGACAGGCTGTTTTCTATTGTTTAGAAATTCACATGGCAGAATTCAACCCTGAGTTTTATAATAGAAAACTTGTAGGGGTCTTTACAAACTTTCCAATGAATCCTGTACTGATTGAGCTTGAGTAGACCTGTACCCAACACAGTGTGACATTTTTGTAAGAGAAGAAAGTGGAAACTCCAGAGAGAAGACAGAGCATGAGGGTCAAAGACTTGAAAGGAGATGGGCCACAAGCTGAAACCTGGAATGAATTGAATTGATTAATTGAAATTTGAATTATTGAAGGATAATTCAGTAATTATCATATGAATTAATGAATGATAATATTATCCAAATTAACCCATAGAAGAAAATCCAGAGCTAGTTTGACAGCAATAAAATATACGTACTTTCCAAAATTAGAAAACAAAAATATAGATTGGTATTTTATTTTTACTATTTGATATCTCAATAGGAATTGAGAAAAACAATTTCTTTGCCACCCATGATCCTGGTTGACCCATATTGTAGTGGACTTAGGCCAACTGGGAGAACTCCCAAAGTTTCCAAGAAAGCTCAGCTCCTCTGCTGGTTCCTCTTAGTAACAGATGTTCAAAAGTGAATCATGTCATCTTGTATATTATGGCAAGCTGTCAGTCTTCAAAGATTTTGAATAAATGGAGGGCAGTTGACAGTGAGCTGTTCTGCAGGCTGCCTTCACCATCATAGGGGGTTTCATGATGTGGCTGCCATCACAGAAGCAGGCAGGGGTAGGGAACACATGCCTTGATGATTCATTAGCCAGTTACACATCAGAGAACACTCGGCAAAACCTTTATTCTGAGCACTGGGACTATAGAACTAAGGTAGAGAAGTTTACTGACAATATGGTAATGGCAATCTGGAGGAAATAGATAGAAGTCAATAATTTAACAGCAAGATTTTTTCAGGCAATGATATGTACCATGAGAACCACATTATAGGGTGAAGTTAAGGGAGTTACAGGAGGCAGCAGGTCCTCATCAAAGAGGTAACATAGGACAAGAGCCAGTTACATGAGACCAAGTTTTGAAATATGCTCGATGTCCCCTATTCTCAGGCAAAAGTGCAAACGCAAAGTCTCCAAAGTTGGAATGAGCTTGAACTTCAAAAAAATTTTTATTGATGTATAATGTTATTATGTAATGTAATAGGTTTCAGGTGTACACCATTCTACATCCACGTCTCTATAAACTATATTAAATTGACCACCGAAAGACCAAGTCTGCCTTCATCATATAATTGACCCTGTTTACTGGATTGATCCACCCCCCTCCCTCACTGTTTCCCTTAGACTTTTAAAGTCCCAAATAATTCAATTTATAGAAGGTAAGTAGAGTGTAGGTAGATGCCAGAAAATAAGATTTTTTAAGGCAGTGATTTTATTTCAAAATTACTAGGAGGTTATAAGCAAGAGAAAGGCATGATTCCTTTTATAATTTAATAAGGTGGTTGTATGGACAATAGATTAGAGAGGACAGGAGTGGAAACAGAAACAAATTGGGGGAGGATAGTGATTTAGATTAGAATGATGGCATGGAAAGAAATGCATGATTTTGGAATGTATTTTTGGGTAGAACCAACAAGGCTTCTGTTGGTTTGGATGTGGAGTGGAATGGGGAAGGTTGAGAGAAAGCCCATCTTTGTCACCAGCAAGAAAAGACTGGATGGGGACAGCACTGGTGGATGCCCAGCCCCATGTACTATTGGTTGTGCAGTTAACCGGGGATCGGGTCCTCTTCTCTTCCTTCATAGTCAAGTCCCCATCTCAGTAAGACACTCTTCAACCTATATGTTGAGAAGTCTAGAAAAGACAATTAAACCTGGAACTCTACAGTGCATCAGACTGAGCAGAATGTGGCACATGGAGAAATTTTAGGATAAGAGAAAAAAAAACTTTCTAATAACTAAGATGTAACCACTGTGTGATGAGATTTGAAGTTGATGAGAAGATACAATCCAGTAACCCAGAGGTCAAACTAGGGGATCATGCAGTTGACATTTTAGCTGACCCTAGGCAAGCACAAACAATCAAACAATACCCTGCCTCTGGCTTTGCCACCCAGCATTATCTTTTTCCAGAGTTTCAACTCTCCCAATCATTGACTTATAGCCACCCTCTATGACCACACCACACTGATCTTCAGGGTTGTAGAGGAGGCTAGTATAGCTGGGCCCTGCCTTTCCTTCCTCCCTTAAATTACTGTGTTGAGTGGCAGCGATGTGCCAAGCAGCGTGTTCCTGCCAAGATTTGATTAGTGATGCTCTTCGTCCATAATCTGTTGCCATCAAGGGTTCTTGTTTTTGTGCTGCCTCTCCAGCCTCGGGCTCTTAAGTCTACTCAGTCATACATGAGCAAGTCAGAGCATGGTGTTGCTTTTAATTTATTTTTTAATCAAAAAATTATAATATATAACATGCAGAAATATCCACAAAACAAATACTTAAATGGCTAACTATAAAGTAAACACCCAAGTAGCCAGCTCCAGAAGTAGAATGTAACCATCACCCTCCAGATAACCCTATAACCTTTATGATGATCATGTTCTTGCCTTTCTTTATAGTTTTACCTTCTATGTGTCAAATGTATTTTCTACCTCTCACTGAACATCTGGGAAAAAATGTACCCATTTCTTTTTTTAAAAGTTGGGACTTCCTTCTTCTGTTATTTTTCTTTTCCCTTTCTCTCTTCTCATTTTCCTTCTACTTTTCTCTTATGGGATATAATTTAGCAAGACCTGGCAATGGGGTACAGAGTATATGGGAGCAATATCAGTCTTGCAACAACTGTTTTTGATTTCTCTTCATGTTTTATTTCTTGCTGAAGAATCCATCTTTGTCCATCTCTGGGGTTCACATCTGGCATGAGCCTTTGGGGTATAGTGGTTTGGGTGACCAAGGCACATCTTGTAGTAAAAGTGGGGCCGTGAAACTCTGAAATGGGAGCTGTGCCTCCTCCAGCCTATGCCAAGATTGGCACGAGCTCCAGCAAAGGGCTGTTAACAGCATGTCATATGGTTAATGTGAAAAGCACTTTCTGTAGATTTCTTCTAAGCTGAAGGGGGGAAGCAATCCCCACAGTCAGTTCATAAAGCACATTAGATTCTCAAAAGTCTCTCAGCCCTGCAGCCAGCTTTCCACTCACACACATTTTTCATTGTTTTAAAGGGTAAATAATGCTTTTTTGGACCGACTCCAAGGCAAAAGTCAACCAGGTGGCCTGGAGCAGTTTTGAGGCTATTGGAATATGAATAGTGGTAACAGCTGGGTGAGTTTTTTCTTCTCAAAAAAAAAAAAAAAAAAATCTTTCAAAGTTGTAGAGTAAAAACAATGAGAATTTTAAAAATATGTTGTGGCCTTCTCCCTAGATATTATTTTTTTTGGTGTGCTGTTCAGCTATATGATGGGCAGTCAGCCAGGGTGATTACTGTAAATTCCACAATAGCCTCAGAGAGAGGGAGAAAGTCCTGATTTCAGCTCCAGCCAATCACAATAAAAAATGACACCTGCCCTTTGTTCTCAGTGTGATTGCCTGGACTGTAAGGCTTTTTATCATCCTTTGCCCAGACCTACAACAAAAACAAATGAACTTTTTTTCAGGAAGATTTTAAGTGAAATATGGTTATAAAAACAGTAAGCTTTCTGCAGTAATATATTCTTTCAGTGAAACTACACATTAAATAAACCAGTATTTAGTATTTTACTACAAAGTGATTTTTTCAAAACTCTCCAACAAAAGGTACTATTTGAAAATGAACAGTCTTTAAAGATTTCCGTGAAGATCTTGCAGCAGTGTTGTAATGTGTTTAATGTGTTTTGCATGCTCAGTATGTTACTAAACCAGCACAAAGCCTTGGAATGTGTATGATCGTGGAGTTTGCAATGTGTACAGAATCAAAATGAACCACACTAGGTTTTAAAATTTAATTGAAGCCCAAGTGCATATGTAACTTGCTTAAAAAAATGGAGCAGACAGAAATCTTTAAACTGATACAGGACAACAAAATAATCAGGTGCTTGCTGATCTGGAAACCCTGGAGATAATCACCCTTCAATAGGTAATTGGTAGACAAAAGATCATTTTTAAGAAAGCAATCTGTTAGAAATCTTGTATGCTTATTCCCTTGCAAGGCAACTAGTAGTGTAAATTGATAAAACTTCACAAATGTGTTTATGTTTAAGATAATTGAATGTAGTTAAATATGCAGAGGATGCACACTGGACATCTGCTTATCTATAATTATGCTTATGTGTATTGCCATCTTATCCAAAGCAGGGACAAAGTGGGAAAGAGAAAATCAAACTTGAGGAACTGGCTGCTCTTACTTTGCATTCTTTGCATCAGTTGCTACCTCTCTACTCACCTCTAAAATATCTATATGATTTGTCCTTTAAGAATTTTCTTGAATTCCACCTTAGTGAATGTTTTAACCTTTTGAAGGGTTATGAGCAGGGAATGGACCTGATGAATTTTTTGTTTTAAATAAATTATGCATGGTCCCATAGAAGGTAGGTTTAAGGGGTAGAGTAAACCAGAGGTAGAGGTAGAGTAACCCATTAGAGGTGAATGCATAAGCCAAATGACCAATGATGATAGTCCTTAGCCAAAAGAGTTGGATAGAGATGGGAGTGGATAGAAGGAGCTTATTAAGTTTTTAGCATATACAATAGTAGGATTTTATAAGTGGCCATCTACTAAATGTTGGGGCCTATGCTCTGGCCCTTGTCTCTTGCCATCTCCATTCTGGGTTCCATAATACTTTACAACTTTAAGCATAATTTTCTAACACCATTTATTTCATGTTCCATATCCCATCAGGCCAAAGTTCCTTTTTTGTTTATTGATAAATCCCAATCATAAAACAGTGACTGGGACTTACTGCATGCATAAGGAAGCAGGTGGCTGTGATTTAGGGTCACCAAAACAACGCAGATTTACAACCAAATGTTTTGATATACTAACATGATTAGACACTGAATTTAAAATAGATTTGTATAAAGCATTCAATGAAGTAATTATTGGATTTGAGACAATGAGCAAAAGCAAGAATCGAGGAAAAGCAAGAAGATTTGAAAAAGAACAAAACAGAACTTCTAGAAATTAAACAAAACTTTAAAATTGAAAGCATTCAGTGAATTCATCTTAACAGGGATACATATTAAGAACTAAGCAGAAATACCACTGGTCACCTATTAGGTGCAAAAAAAAACCCCAGAAGATTGATGAAATACTGTGTTGGCAAGGCTGTGAAGCAGATTCTTTCCTACATTGTTGGTGGGAATTGAAGATGATGCAAGCACTATCTAGATTAATGTATTACTGTCTTCCTGTAAGATAAAAACCAGGTCTAGACATATTACAGTAAAGTTCTATTAAATGTTCAAGGAACAGATTATTCTAGAATAATCTAGAAGGTTATTCAGATAAATGGAAAGGAAGAAATATTCCCCAAAAGGATTTAGCAGGTGAATGTAACTTGGAATCAAAATCAGATAACGACTATACAGAAAAAGAAAATTATAGTTCAGTCTCATGCAAACAAAATTGAATAACATCTATTTTATAAAACTATAATATATCCCTAGTGATTAGATTTATCTCAGAAATGCAAGGGTGGTTTATCACAAATGAGCAACCAAAATAAAACAGGTAATTTACCTCAAACTCTAAGGGAAATTCCCTATGACCATGTCAATATTTACTGAGAGAGCATCTTATAAATTTCAGTTCTCATTCGTGGCAAATTCTAGCATATTAGAGATTGAAAGGAAATTAGCAAAGGACTCAAAATCTTTAATAAAATATGTCAGCTTTTCCTTTAAAGCAGACACAAGATTTGAAAAAGAAAAATAGTTATAAATCAGAGCTAATGCAATTATTTATATAGAAAATCCAAAAGAATGTACATTCAAATTGTTAGGCTAAATTAAGGGCCCAGCAGTATTGCTAAGTATAGGATCAGCATATAAAAACTAACTTCATTTGGGAATAACTAACTTCACATTGGGAGTTCTTTAAAATAAAGAGATCAAACCAAAGGGAGGGTGTGTGTGTGTGTGTGTGTCTGTGTGTGTGTGTAACCTTTTCTAAAAATATAAATTTTTGCAGAAATATATTAAGGAATAATTAAATAGTTATACCTTGTTAATGAACAGGAATAAGTTCTCCAATCATATATAGAATTAATTAAATTCTAATCAAAGCAAAGAATCAAGCACAGCTAATTAACACTTGATAAAGAGATATGTATGTGAACTCATGATTAAACTTGCATATGGTGTGGACAGGCTGACCCAGCTACTTGTGGAGTTTGATGTATGACAGAAGATAGATGAGTAAGATGGACACTTCAACTAAGTAGTCACATGAAATTAATTAGGTTCATTCCTAACACTATTTATAAACAATCAGGTCAATTAATTAAAGTTTATAAATAGGAAGTATATTTTAATTTTAGAATAGATCACTTATAAAATTGAGCTAGAAAAGATTTTTAACATCCAAAACGAAAAAGAAATGATAAATATATGCTAAAACAAAGCATCTGTTCATCAAAGAACACACTGCAAAGTAAGGAGAGAAACCAAAAACCAAACTTTTTCCTGGACACATTTTATAAATCAAGGGATAAAAGGGTAGTATTTACACTATTAAGAAGGTGTCAGTTCTTTAGAAATAAACAGGTGATAACTGAAGTCCCCAAGGAATAAGAGAAGAGTGTTATGCTCCAACTCAAAGCTGCGACTCATAGGAAATATTGGAATTGTTACAGAGCAACCCCGATATAAAAATGGGTTGCGTGCCTGTGGGTCCTCACCCGCACGCTTGTATGAAATTAGCTTTAGGACATCCTTTTCCCCCCTAACAGAACCAGTAAAATGTCAAAGACAGAAGGCAAAGAAGAAGTCTAGAAAACATGATTAAGCCATGACAAAAGTCAAGGAAAGAAAAAAGTGTTTCTTAAAATGTCATATAGATGCTGAAGCAGACTTCTGTTAATTGTGTGCTGGCTAGACACATTTGATCTTTACTTTTAAACCTTTTAAACTTTTAATCACATTCTCATATTAATGTGTATTCTCTGATATTTAAATTTGCCTTTATATTTAAAAAATATGTTTTGTTTTTCTACCACTCTTAGTTTTCATGATGCATCTAGGGTGGGACATTTAAAGAATCACTCCAAATTATCTTTTCTCTGATAACACTAGGTGTTATCAGAAGCTGTGGAAATCTAAGCCCTGTATCTTCAAGGACAGTTAAGCTTTGCATGACCTGTGAAGAACCTGAGATTTTACTTCCCCAAAGTGTTAGGACAGCAATAGTCTGAATCTCAAATAGAGTTTGGGCTAGCTTTCTGGGAAGCTTGATGGAGATGACTTGGCCCTTTGTATGTGGTCAGAGGGAAAGGGACTCATTTAGTCTCTCTCTTCCTCAAGGTCCCCTTAGAAGTCACCTTCCCAGTGCATACAATGCAACTCCATTCCATAAATTTACATTTAAATTGCTCTGCTCACATGGTGTTCCTACTGTCCTTTCTGTAGCCAGAGAGGTCGGGGACAATATTTGTGAACACTACTATGTGTGACCCATGTTAGCATAGGTTTAAGAATACAGTTGACGAGCCGTCACTCAACAGGCCATTACATTGTTGACAGACTATATTGTGAATTAAATGCAACGAGACTTTAAAATCGTGTCATTTTCCTGGGACTTTATATCACTAAAAAATAGTCATTTTAGGCTGACATAGTAAGAGTGTTCTTTGAAGTTAGTTCGTTTGGGACTACCAAGGCTTTGAATTTTCTTTTGCTGCTTCAAATAATTTCTTTTTTTCTTTCAGGATTTTTAAGAAACATTTGCATGCATCTGACCTTCGTCAACTGACCTTGACCACCCTCAGGAGATGTTTTTCCTAAGTGTCGCTTTTTTCAGTCCCAGTTTTTACCTTGACTTCAACTGCACACCCACCAGGCCAAGCAGCTGGGAGTGACTGGCTTCTCCCTGTCATTATTTCTGCATGTTTGCAGGAGCTGATTTCGGAACTCATTTAATCTCTACTGCCAGTGACATCTTATTTTTCTAATTGCTTTTGCCTCTTATTGGAAGTATAATTACAGCGACATTAGTAAGATAGAAAAGGAGGGAATCATTTGATGCATTTAGGTTAGTGAGAGGTGTGGGTGCTGCCTGCTCTTCTCTCTAGACAGCTAAATCTTACCTAATTTTCAAATCAGGTTGGGGGAGCTGGGGCATGGTTTTAGAGTTTTAACTCCTACTTTCTTATTTTGGTATACAAATGTGAGCAACAGAAAACAATAAATCTATTATACTCTTACAAACACACTTATAAATTTTTAACTACTTCTGCATAGATGGTTTGTTTTTGTACTTAATAAAAAGTTGTGTTTTTCTCTCTCAGGAGTTTCATTTTTACAGTCTCCTTTACAGTCAGTAGATCACATATAGTACTGTAATCACTGTTGGATCTGGCTATGGTTTTGACTGACTAATATTGTTCCTCTGGGTTTGAGAGTAGGACAGTTAATTTCCTAAAAGGCCATTGTTTCTATAAAAATCAACTAGACACAAATGTAGATACCACATGTGGTTCGTAGGTGTTTTGGAAACTTGTCTCTGCTTTATGCAACCTATTTCCTGTTGTTAATTTGGCAGGCTTTTCTATACTACTTTTATGACCTAGAACCAGTTTAAGGAATGTAAGAGTGGAAAAATAGTGGTTTTCCACAAGGCATGCACCAATCCCCTCCTTATTCTATAGATGAAACATTGCTTTCAGTCTCAGGATGAAGACTGGAAGAATGAACACATTTTTCAGTTAGAAAACTAGTAATATTTTGAAGCATTAAGAGAGCTTCTGTGTTAACCAATTGCTCGGTTGAAATTAATTTTCCAAGTTTCTGTATTCTGGGAACCAATAGGACTTCAGCTCCTTGCACAAGGGGCGGGGAGAGTCACAGAAGCAGGGTGAGGGTAGAGTATAGAAAGGGCTACATTGGATAGGGGTGGCGGCTGAGAACAGATGGTGCTCAGCTAGTTACTCTGGAGTAAATAATGCATATACTCTTGGTTTTCTGCTCTTCTGCCAGCTGAAGCTGTCTCAGTGCTGTTTACACTAATATAAAAATGTTTGGTCCATTTGAAATCCTTGTCATTGCCTCATATGGGGAAACCAAAGTCCCTCAGTCTGAGTAGGGAACACTGCCAAACTGACTGCAAATGTGTGACTGTCGCAGGCTTTTTACTGCTGTGGCATGAAGCCATTTCAGCCCTACAGCTGCCAGCCTGGCCACCTCAGAGTCCACAGCCATCTTCTGAGTTTTGTGTCCGGGCAAAACATTTCTCACTTGCCACTGTTTTCTGCCTTGTAACTCGGAGTCGACGTAGTGGAAAGGGGTGCTTTCTTACTTGGGGAGCTCTCAGGAAAGTGAGAATCAATTTCCCTTTCACTGCCTGCTGCTGTGTCCTGCATTCCCAAAGATTTTTGTTCAGATATCTGGCTTCATGAAAAAGGATCATGGAAGCACAGAAAGTTATCACTTAATGGCCATATTTATCTAAAGTATGTGTGGGGTTGTAGACATCTCCCTTAAACAGTTCTCTATGCAGGCAGAAGTAACTAGAAAAGAAGCAAGAGCTATTGTGTAAAGGAGCCTGCCATTAAGCTTCCCATATTTAATCTTCCCTGTTATCACCTGGGAAAAAAATTGATTTTGGGTAAGTCTGGATAGGAACCCAAAGCTGCAATTGCCATTTCTATGCTTTTAAAATGTTTTTTCTGAAGAAAAATGAGACAAATCGTTAGAAAAGTAATATATAACAGTAACTTTAGACATATCAATGAGTGTTTAAAAGGAAATACTAGTGATTTTTTAGGTTTTTTTAAAAAAGATTTATGTATTTATACAAGAACCAAGGTACAGGCCAGATGCGCAGGAGGGTAAGAGGATTCACCAAAGACATAGCCGGGATCAGAACAGGCAGACTACCTGAAACACACTGCTGAGGGGAGCAGTGGGCGAAACAGGAAAGGTCTGCTGCGCCATGTGGGTATCTCACAGACCGGCCAGGATCAAACCCCTGCTGCAGAGGCTGCGGACAGCTTCACAGCTCTGTGCTCAACCCCCTGCACCACCAGGGAGGCCCTCGGGTTTACTTTTGTAGTGATTCACAGTTAAAATTTGGAGTGCATTCTGTGTGCATACTGAACCCCTTCAATAAAAATCCTGTGGACACTTACCTAATGATTGGATGAGGACATACACCTTGAATTAGAACTACTAGTTTATATAAGAAAGTGAAAATCAAAATCAACAAAAAAACTATGAACCAGAGACACTTTTTGGGGGGTGGGGGCTGGGAGGGGAGGGATTGGGGTCAGAATGGGGCATGTGCAGTTGTATGGGGGAATATAAAAATAAAATTTATTATTTAAAAAAAAAAAAAAGAACTACTAGATTAGGGCAATCCACATTTAGGGTTGATATATGTAGTCAAATTACTTTCCCAATATATGACACCAGTATGTATTGCCAGCGGAATCATGCCTTATACCCTTCCTAATGCTGTTAGTGATTTTAAATCTTTACTCATATGCTGAATGAAAAATGTCATTGGAGAGGTTAACCTGCTTTTGTTCTATAAGCTCACTGGTCATCATTTCCTCCGTGTGTGTAGTGAAGCATCTCTTCTGTTAAGATAATATGTTGCAAATATCTAATTTTTATTTTTAAACAGTATTTAAGTTGGTATTGAAGTTTTAAATATTTGTGTATTTGAATCTATCAATTGTTTTTTCCGTTGTGGCTTCTTCTTGGTATTATTTTGATAGACTTCAAAATGTTTGTCTCCTCCACCCACAGGGGAACTTGTTTTAAGAACAGGGAGGGGGTCCCCTAATGTGGGGCAGAGTTATGAGCAACACAGGGTAGCTCTCTTCCCATACATAGCACAGACCAGCACCCACATTTGTTTTATGTATTTTTGCACTAGAGAAATAGTTCTCAAACATTTGGTGGCCCCTAAACATTTTGTTTAGGTTGAAGGAAAAAAAAACCACTGGATTTTTTCTTCATTTTGTTTAAAAAATTATGAAAAGTCTACCAGCTTATTTTTAACTTGAAAATTTAGTTGTCCATTAGAGAGTGTCTTTAGGAAATTACATTGTAGTCAGAGTAAATGTAGATACATTTCCTCCAAACACTTGACACTTGTAAAAATAAAAACTTCAAATTAAAATTCAAAGTTGATAACTCTAGCTAAAAAATTGTAATTAGCTTTAGGAAACATAACCATAGAAACCGTGCTTACAAGTTTAATTTTGACTTCCAGGATAGTAAGTAGATAAGGCAAGATTAGCTGGCTCTTTTCCTATGAAGGAGTGTTTAAAAGTGTGCCTATGGCAGGAGGTAGCAGGCAAGGTTTAGAAAATTAAAAGGTGGGGGCCTCCCTGGTTAAGATGCAACCTATGAAACTGTCCTCAGCTTCTGCAGCATGAGTTCGATCCTTGGTCAGCCAGAGAGCAACCCACATGGGGCAGCAGAGCTCTCCTGACTCGCCTACTGCGCCCCTCAGCAGTGTATTTCAGTCAGTCTGCCTGTTCTGTTTCCTATTCTGTCTCTGGTGAATCCTCTCACCCTCCACACCTCTGGCCTGTACCCTAGCTCTTGTATGCATAGATAAATTTTTTTTTTAAAAAAAAAAGAAAATTAAAAGATGGAAGAAATAGCAAAAAGCCTACGTGTTTTTTTTTTTTTGACTCCATAAACTAGTGCACATAGCAGCTAGCTCCATGCCAATGTGTATGAAATAAGATTGGTATGATGCATAATAAATTTACATGAGGAAGGGAAAAATAGACCTTCCAAGTTCCCATAAGAATTTCAGAGACTAAATACACACCAGGCATTTCTTTCAGGAAGAGACTGTTTGGGAACCCTTTTCTTTTTGAATATTGCATTGTTTAACAATAAAATTTAAAAAGAACCAGAGAGGATTTTTTTTCCTCACAGAATTATATACTCAAAAGTGCAGTTTTAAAAAGGCATATGAAGGTAAATGGAGGAATATTTCATTGCATTTACTGCCATGCTGTTGTGCCATCTGCTGGGGTAGAGGAGGCAGGGAGACTTGGGTGGCGACACTCACAGCCCCTGCTAAGTGGTGACTCAGTCCCGTGCTTTGCTGCTCTTGGCTGCCTGCCTGTGCTCAGCGCCTCCTGCTCTTGTCCTCCCTGCAGTGCTGCCCAGAGGAACAGCAGGATTTGCTCAGTCATCAGAGGGCAGGCATTTCACTCTGCACAAAATCTTATACAAGTGACCAACACTGGATTATGAACCAGTTTGAAATTTTAATTTTCTACTTTAGAAATTATCATGGTGCTGAAATGGAGCAGAAATTGTACTTTAGTAATAAGACAGCAAAAGCAGATGAGAGGAATATTTGAAAACTGACATTATGAATTAGCAAAAAGCAGAAAATAAAGTTTAAATACAATATTTATATTCTAACAGGTTATGGCACAAGGCGGACACTAGGGTAAAAGCTGTAGTTCCAGTCCTCAGGGAACAGTCAGGACAGACAAGGTTATGTGACCACAATAGATAACCTGCACATTTCCCTGGATTACCAACATTTGTTTTTTGCTGATGCTACACTTCCAGCACAGGTCAGCAGGAGATTCTGCTCAGTTTAGTCATGCAAACCGCCAAACTGGTAAGGCTCCATTTTCTCTTGTTTCCCCTGCAGCAAGAGGAGACAGTGGCAGTATTTTATACTGGTGATTGAATGTTTTCTCCAGAAAACAGCAATTGCTACTTCTGTTCGTATTTCATTGGCCAGAACAGATCACATGGTTATCCC